AAAAGATGAAATCCAGATCTTTCTGTAAAATGTTTGCTCTGACAAGACTATGAGTATTGCCTTGGTTGCTAGGGAAATAGCAACATCTCATCAATGTAGTAGATAATAATTTCAGTATTTATGAATGATGATTTGCTTTGAAGCATTTGTAGGCTTAATGAGGTCACATGACCCCCACCGACACACAAACACACTAGGCTATTGTGTACTGTTGTGAACTAAACTCCCCATGGGTGACACTCTTGACTAAAATCATCAAGTGTGTTTAGGAAATATTCCCTGTTGTATGTGAAAGCATACTAATTTATAACTATATACTAACTACAAAATATTTGTTGGTAATTAGGTATATTCAGGACAGATTGAAAAATAAACAATAGACAACAATCTGTGCAATTGTCAATGTTTTGTTCTTTGTTGGCCAGACAAGATTGTTGCATCGCATGAATGGTTTGATGACAGGTATAGCATGGACGCATATAGCATTGATCATCACTGGGATTTACAATAAAAAAATTATTGTCTTTGCTTTAGCACCCATTAGAGAATCTGTACGTCATGTTTTCCACCATAAAATATTTTATACCCACCATTCGTTGGGTAAGTTGCATCACTGGATGAACTAACTGAATACCAACAGTAAGGTAGGTTGATAGATACATTTCAAAATTAACAATTGCACAAAAAAAGAAAGTAGCCTGTCGGCTGAGATAGCTCAGCTGTTATCAATGCACATTTCAATTAAAGAACTAAAGATATCACTGGAAAATGAACAATATGTATAGTATCAAAGGAAACAGACTTTCTGTTTTCAACAAGAAGTCAAAAATATCATTGTTTACTAAAAATGACAAAATGAGAGCGGCCTACAGGTAGTACCTGTATATGTAATATCAAAGCAATCAGACTTTTTAACAAGAAGTCGAAAATATGACATTTTACCAGAAATGACAAAAATATTCATCAGAATTGAAGATATCATCAAGAAATGAACAAATCTGAGAGAGTTTCACCTGTAGTACCTATATATGTAATATCAAAGCAATCAGACTTGTGGTTTTTAACAAGAAGTCGAAAATATCACTTTTTACCAAAAATGACAAAAATATTCACCAAAATTAGAGAATTAAAGATATCATCACGAAATGAACAAATCTGAGAGAGGTCCACATTTAGTACATATATTTGCAATATCAAAGCAATCGGACTTGCACATACATTGTATGGACCAATCAATATGCACATACATTGTAAGGACCAATCAATACGCACATACATTGTATGGACCAATCAATTTGCAGATATATTGTATGGACCAATCAATATGCACATACATTGTATGGACCAATCAATATGCACATACATTGTATGGACCAATCAATATGCACATACATTCATTGTATGGACCAACCAATATGCACATACATTGTTTGGACCAATCAATATGCACATACATTGTATGGACCAATCAATGCACATACATTGTATGGACCAATCAATATGCACATGCATTGTATGGACAAATCAATATGCACATACATTGTATGGACCAATCAATATGCACATACATTGTATGGACCAATCAATATGCACATACATTGTATGGACCAATCAATATGCACATACATTTTATGGACCAATCAATATGCACATACATTGTATGGACCAATCAATATGCACATACATTGTATGGACCAATCAATATGCACATACATTGTATGGACCAATCAATACACATACATTGTATGGACCAATCAATATGCACATACATTATATGGACCAATCAATATGCACATACATTGTATGGACCAATCAATACACACACACATACATCAATCAATACACATACATTGTATGCACTAATCAATACACACATACATCAATCAATACACATACG